ATTTTCCGAGTACACTCGACGGAGAAAGTACTGCCGCAGTGTACAAGTGCAATTCTGACAGACTTGGACTCGGTCCCTATACGTGGCACTCATCGGACGGTGCCAGCCCCAGCCAGCGGAAAGTTCGGGACCCCGAAATGTACCTAGTTAAAGTGCGCTTTTTGACAACGGGATGGTCAATGTAGTGTCTTGTTCCGGCGGAATTCTGCGATTTTCACTCAGTCGCTCCGCTTTGGTCCACTTCTATCGTTAGCCGTAGCGAAATTATGCTGCCGCTCTGGGATCAAAAGTCGTACCGCTTCGAAAAGGTGATATTCTCCAACTCTCAAGCCTCGCCCTGCTTCCTAAAACAGGCCGTCTTTCAGAAACAGTGGGACTGGAAGGACTCTGAAGGCGATCAGAAAAAGAAAGATATCCGTGGATCACAATTCATTTCATTCCGTGCGGGGCACAAGGCAAAAGGACGTTTTCTCACCAGTCCGTGGACAAGATGATTTTCCCCGGCCCCTTCCCACAGACGCCCAGAGCCGGATTCGACGCGCTTCCCTTCGCAAAGGACACCGCCCGCCGTTGGCCGCCTTCCGTCCGCCGCCCACGACCAGTCCGGCCTCACTGGAGGGGTAGACATCTAGGACGAACTTGGTCGGCCAGTTTGGCATTGTGTCAAGTCTTGTGCGGCGAAAGTTTTGGTCCCTATTAATACTCATCGAGTCGAGGTAGTGTCGCCGGCCCACGGGCCGTACAGAATTGGAGTCGTACGGTCGGAACTGATGACGTCACCGGTCGAGTCTTAGCCGGAGTCAAATTTATAGAGTGATTCTGCGACGCCTTACTGCGTATTTTGAAGCACGGCCGACGGCAGTCTTGAATGTTCACGACTAAGAGCTAGGGGTCGCTAAGCATTGTAGGAAGCCTACTCTTGTTTTCAGGGCTTTCCATCTTTTCAGAAGCTTTAAATTGCAATGAAGCATCGTCTATATGCGTGCTAATGTTGGCACTAATCAGCACAACATTTGGTGGACATTTTGCGCAATCGGCATGGTGACCTTTTTGAGTTTGCGGCCTCCGTTATCTTGAAAGCGCTGTATTGGGCTGCTTAAAAAGTTGGTTCGTGACATTGGAGGATTTTCGCGTTCACAGTGTCAGCCGATCAAAACACATATTCGGCCGTCGGATTGCTCATCCGACGGTCCGACCGTAAAGTCTCGACACTACCAAATTTACCAGGGACGGGTTGTGCCTCTGAAGATCACGTTCACCGCCGAGCCCGGAACACCGCCGCAGCAGCTTCCTGGTCGTCCTGAACGAAGGCGAGAGGAGAAATGAATCCTTATTCGAGCGCCCTGCGATCCTGGCAGACTGAACTGTGCTAATAAAGATACGCCCTCCTAAAACGCTCACTGGTCCGCACAACCATCATCTCAGATCCTTCCGTGTGCGAATACGTCTGCGGCTTGTCTGCAGAGCCTCGCCTACATCATCGACGCGTGCGACTGCGAATACTCATTACAAACAAATTGTTGGGCCAAGTCGTCTCGGTTCCAGCACGAGTGTGGTCATTGAGGGACCAACCCTCATAACGCTTTCTCGTCACGGACCGACTAGCCAAGATTTTCAATCGCAGAAGAGCTCGCCTCGGAATCCAATTTGACTGCGGACATGAGAAAATACAAGCTTCTCAGCCGCTTTTTCCTCACAGACGCTATCCGGACCTTCAGAGCACTTTCCGAGAAAAGCTTTTCAAGTGGCGACCGATACCTCAGGGATCGTCTGCTACGGGGAATGGTGACAACCGCCACCGGACTCCTTCCTCACGGACGGTCCGCCATGCAAACACTAATTTCGCCGCAGCCCCAATTAAAATGGTGCTAACGTACGCGTCTAAGAAAAGCGAAGGAACTTGCGGACTTCCACCGCAGTTTCAGAGAGCAATCTATTGCCGGTCCTGGCTTTGGCCACTGGCGCAATCTTCACAGACGCTTTCTCAAAAAAAGATCGTACTCTTAACAGAAGCATGGTTCAACCAAGACTGTTAGTATCTCAGGATTCGCTTGCTCCGAAGAGTGGTGGCAATTGCCACCGAGCGGCATCCTCACGGACTGTCCATCGTCCGAAATCACATTGAACTCAAACACTGGTCACGGGGAACTTCGCATACGCGTCTAAGCTGGACACGAGAAACCTGCGGGCTTCCCCCGCAGTTTCAGGGTCACTCTACACCTATCTTTGGCCTTGGCCACAGGTGTTGTCTTCACGGACGCACCCATGTTAAGCCAATCAAAAGAAAGTTACTAAGCATCCTCCGGACACCTTCTTGAAAGCATCCGCAAAGAACCGGACAAACGGGAAGCTTCCGACCGTCAGGCCTGTAAGCGTTGACGGCGTCTCGCCCTCAGCTTTCTAGCGTCATTAGCCCCCGAAAGCATCCGAAAAGATCGGAAAAAACGGCAAGAAAAAACAACAAGCTTCCGATCGCCATGTTCTTTAACCATTGGGTGACGTGTCACCCAAGGTTTCCCAATCGTCATTAGCTCCTCACCCCTTCACACAATTGTGACGCCCCGTCACTCGTCTTCCTCCACCAGAACGGATCCGACCGGTCCTTTTCCGTCGGCAAGCCATGGCTCGCCACGTAAGACCATTGCGGAATTCCAGAATCAAACACTCCGGCTGCCACGTGTCATCCTATCAGACGCTTCCGTGAAAGGTCAGAAAGGAAAAGAATGAGCACCGAAATTCACCGAACCGAGTAACCCGGCCGTGAAGCCTCACTTTCGGCCATGAAACCTACTTTACTGAGGAAAAGGCATTCCTCAGCTCCGGCGGAATCACTGGCATCACGACACCAAAAGACGCCCTGAAAGCACTCCGCAGAGAAATTCAGGGTTAAAAGTCCTACCGATCCTCCTCAAAGGGTGTCCTCGTCCTCTGGCAATTCTTCAATAACGTCCTGCGAAGATGGAGTGCCGGAGCGCGAGATAGGCCATCCGGAACCTTGTGCAGCCTGCCAGGACGATGCTCGATGTCAAACTGAAAGTCCTGATCTAACGTGTATAGCCACCGAGCCAAGCGGCCGGTCGTAGGTTGAAGCTTTCGCAGCCACTTCAACGCCCAATGATCCGTCCGAACCAAAAACCGCGGACCGTAATTTAGATAGACTCGGAAAGTAGTCAGCCCGTGCAACAACGCAAGCAACTCCCCCTCCGTCGTCGTATAGCGGAGCTCCTGCTTAGTTAAAGTGCGAGACCCGTAGGCAATCACTCGCTCTCTAACTTCTCCGTTATGCTTCTGGCTCAAAACCACCCCCAACGTGCGCCCCTGAAAATCACAATCCAGGATGCACGGAAGCTCAGGACGAGAACGAGTAAGAATCGGCTCTGAACATAGCCGGTCTTTCAAGTACTCTAAAGCAGCCTGACACTTCTCAGTCCACACGTATGGGACTGAAGGGGACAGCATGACCGTCAGCGGACGGGCAATCTTCGAGAAGTCTTTGATGAAAGAGCGGAAATATTGAAACATGCCGTTCACAGCCTGCAACTCCTTTAGATTGGTCGGCGGAGTCAGGTTGCGGACGGCCGCAGCCTTTTTTGGGCTCACTTTAAATCCTCCATGGAAGATTGTGTGCCCTAAATAATCCACTTCCTTTACCGCTATCGAGGACTTCTGCGGATGCAACTTCAAGTTCGCCCAAATCACCCGTTCCAAAACTCGGTCTAGTCTTTCCGCAAGTTGACTCACTCCCTTGCCGTGGCAACAGAGGTCATCAATGACCACTTGCAGGGAGTCATTAAATTCAGACTTTGGAAAGACCAACTCACAGAGACGAACAAAAGTCGCCGGAGCATTTTTCAAGCCCATGGGCATGACCAGGTATTCAGACAGGCCGATATTCCGAAGAGTAAAGGCCGTATACTTCCTGGACTCCGGCGTCAAGGGCACATTCCAAAATCCCCGCGTAATATCCATCACGCAGAACAAATCAGACTGGCCCAACTGATGCAAAAGATCCTCAATTGGCGGCAGCGGAATCTTCCAATCTTTGCACCGGTTGTTTACCTCTCTGAGATCAACCACCATCCGATAATGCCCCGGTACGTCGGTTCGGCTTCTCCACTAAAAAGGCAGGCGACGCCCAGTCTGATTTCGACGGCGCAATTGCGCGCTCTCGTAAGAGCTGCTCGATCATCTTTATTGCCTCCTTTTGCTCGTGAAACGAAAGCTTATAAGGTTTAAACTGGACCGGACTTTGATTCGAGAGATCAATCTCACACTGGATCAAAGTAGTGTAGCCCATTTCCGCATCGTCTCGACTAAACGCCTGGATCCGCTTGCGGATTACTCCTTCCAGGTGCGCCCTCTCCTCCTCAGAAAGTTCGGCCCCGAACTTGATTGCGGCTACTACACTCTCAATCTCTTCTTCAGTATAGGGTTGTGAAGCTGGCGAAGGCGGTACTGGAGGCTCAACGGCTTGGATAAAAATGCGGCGTAACGAAGTGGGGGGTTCGGAAGCACCCTGAGGCACTACCCACCTGAAGGGCTGGAACGTGTTCCGCCTTCCCCACCGTCGGCCGAGCGTCCGAAGCCGCGCGCGCGTCCGCCTCCCGTAAACCCCGCGTGCCCACGTGTAGGCCTGCTTGCATTCTGCAAAATCGGTGACAATAAAGCCGTTGAGAATCGGGCCGTGGTCTACTGACGGGCGGTACGACGCCGTCGCCTCTTCCCCACGGCCCGTAACCCGTTTTTTTGGCACAGAAATCTGAGGAGGGTTAGCGGTAACCCAACCGTCCGGAACGTCCGCAGACGTGATCCGATAAATTGCCTCCGCTCCATCCTTCTCCTCTCTTGGAAGCAGAGGCAAATACACGACCGTGGACGCCTACTGAAAACGAACTTGATTTCTACTGCGGAGAATATCCGCGTGCAACACCGTAAGAATCTCATTCCCCAACAGAAGGTTGAAGTTGCACGCCCGCGCCATTACTAAAACCCAAGTCTTCACAGAAATCGGACCCAGCCTCAAAGTAAGACGCACAACGCCTCTCGCCCACTGAACATCTCCACCCGCTGTTCTGTATTTGTACGAAGTTGGGCGAATTTGATAAGAAAGACCAAGACGTTCCACAAGTTTCTCATTAATCCCGGATGACGTGGCTCCAAAATCCACTATCGCGCGCTTGCGATGTGGGTTGTTCTCAGCGTCGTCAATCTGCAGAGTAACCTCAGTTTGATAGTTCGTTCTGTCTACACCGGGATCAATGTCGACTTTGAGGTGCATCGCGGCCGCGGGCGCGGTCACCTCAGTGCGCGAGCGCTTCGCGGGTCGCCCCTCCCCGGCCGCGGCCGGCTGAGCAACATGCGCAGCTGACCTCACCGCTGCCGGGCGTTCCTCGGAACAATTCCGGCGCTCGTGACTGAAAAGATCATCAATATAACGGTGAAGATCGGTACGAAAGTTCGCATAGTCCCGGTGAGCGGCTAACTGTGGGCCTGCATCCTTAAGAATCAAAGAAATAATCTGCGTGTTCTTCCGTTGCCGCTCTTCGCGATTGGACACGCGCGTCTTATATCGCTTCGCTTTTTCCTCTGCGGAAAGAGGCTTCCGCAAAGGTTGTCGTGACAACGGAGGAAGCTTCTCAAAGCGGCGCCCCTCAGAAAC